TAAATATTTTGAACATGCTTTATGCGAACATGTATTAATTTAATGTCATTGTCTTTATACAGGAAACTAGGAATTGGATAGGCCAAAACAACCACAATATCATTGTGGCTAGCTGACTACTCCATAAAGTATCCAAAGGAAATTATTGAAGATGTCTTTGTGAAGGTGGACAAGTTCATTTACCCTGCAGATTTTATCATATTAGATATGGAAGATCGGGATATTCCAATCATTTTAGGGAGACCTTTCCTGGCTACTAGAAGAGCATTGATTGACATACACGAAGGAACGCTGACAATGCAGGTTAATAATGAAGACGTAAATTTCAACATCTATCAAGCGAAGAAACCTCCAGAAAAGCCAACACTTGCAATATGATCTAGATAATTGAAGCAGTTGTAAGTAATAAAGAAAAAAAATGCATTTATTCTATGACCCTCTAGTGCAGCACATGGCTACCAGTTATTTAGCAAGGGATACATGTTCAATTGGTAAATACTCAAGAACCAAGGAAGTGGTTGACCCCCTATTGGCTCATGATGCATATCCACCTGACAAAAATGAGAACTATATGGAAAAGCCTTTGAAACCTCCTAACATTGTCAAACAAAAAGAGGTTTTGAAGGCTATACCGGAGTTAAAGCCGTCCAATTTATTGCCATGCTATAGTGAAGAAGAATACAAAACAAAGGATAAAGTTTAGAAACATAAGAGACATGTCACCAGAAGATCCAACATAGACAATTTGGTCAAGTCAAGCTAATGACGTTAAAGAAACGCTTCTTGGGAGTTAACCCAAGCTTTCTTCCTCTGTTTTTGAGTTTTAGGATAGTTTAGTTTATTTTAAATTTATTTGGGACTCGTCATCCATACCCTGTTTTCCCTTAGGTCTTCGATATGTTGGTTTATTAGATGTTAGAGCTACATAACACTTGTTCCAGTTATTTGATCTTAATACTTTATTTGATTTTTCAGGAATATGACGTCGCAGACCATTTAAACCAATATTGACCAAAGAGCCAACATGAGTAATAGGAAAGCTAACCGTTGAATTACAAGCCATATAAGGGGAGTCTTTTCTTCACTTTCTTTCCCATCCCTTTATATGCGAATTTAGGATTTAAAACATTGAGGACAATGTCAAGTTTAAGTTTGGGGGTGGAAAACATGAGTTTTATTGAAAAATTTCAAAAATATTTTCTTTTTGTGTGCTTGTGTGAATTAGTTGGCTTGGCTGGCAATGAGAAATGTATTGAATCATAAATTGAT